CTAACCCGTGCCACAACTCCAGCCCCGAAAGGTTTTTATTCTTGTTCACCTGCCAGGTGGTCCTCTGTATCCTGGGAGCAGGAGTTCGTGAGTGACGACAGGAAACCCCTGTTACAGCACTGAGTCAATGGTTCTATCAAAGACTCCCTTCTGGATTCCGACCTCAACTCTGTCTCCAGCTGCAAGAGCTCTGGAAGCTACATTGTCTTGGCAATCTAAAAACGCACCAAAATCATGTTTTATGCAGGTTTAGTTCTTATGAAACAGGTAGAAGTTTCAGAATATTTATGTGTGCTGCCATAAATAGTTTACCACACTGCCTGGAGTGAATCTAGCCAAACAGTTTACAGGAAAACCATCGTCCCTTCTCTGAAGGTCAAAGTTGCAGTTAGAACAGAACAAAAGAATCTACTGAAGATAGCCAATTCAATTGTCTACACTGGAATCAAAATTTCTTACCTTTCTGTATTAAAAGTCACTTTTCAAGTTAAACAACAATTTTTAACCAAAACTTTAATCCCAAGGATTCTCACAAAAACATATTACAAATGACAGCATGAAAAACATAATCTTGCACAGTAACTCAAAGTTCAGCTCTACAATGTACCCTTGAACTGGCAGGACATTGGTATTTTCTGAAATCTCAAATTTCCCAATAAAGACTGTTATATAAACAGCTATGTGTTCTATATTGCAATTACATAAGGAACTTATCACCTAGGCAAAGGTAAACTTTGAATATGACCTTGTCTAAACAAGATAAGAGTCGGTGAACTCAAAAGGCTTCCATAGCCTTGGAAACTCATGACTGGTGCATAGGGAGATTACTGATGCCATAAACAAGAGTGTCAATTTGTAAAGTCAACAACAGGAGTCACTGTGCACTTACTCCTCATGTAGGATCTCTGTCCTTAATGTGCTGTACATTGAGACTTAATACTATAATGAGTACTCAAACAGTATATTTTGCTTTGTGCTTCTATGGGGGTGCAAACTGTTGAAATCTTTACTTAATGTATACTAAACTGATCTTCTGTAAAAAAAAAAAAAAAAAGAAGAAATTATCAGTTCCCAACTTGACTCTCACTGGGATTAAACATGACAATAGGTCTGATCTGATTTCATCATCATTTAAAAAATCATCTATTATTTTTCACTTTATGTTTGTGTGGGAGCAAACTGTTGAAATCTTTACTTAATGTATGCTAAACTGATCTTCTGTATATAAAGAGAATCGAAAATGAATCCTCATGTGAATGGAAGGGGAGAGGGAGTGGGAAAGGGGAGGGATGCGGGTGGGAGAGACGATATGGGGGGAAGCCATTGTAATCCATAAGCCATACTTTGGAAATTTATATTCATTAAATAAAAGTTAAAAAAAAGTCACTTTTCAAATATGCTGAAAATTAAAAAGAAACTAAAAAAAACAGGAATACCCAATTATACACTCAATATTAAATATTTGGAATGACCAACATTAATTAAATGCTTAGGAATTCAAGGTCCTCTTGGAATTCCCCTGGAAAACATCTACATATTTTCCTAATAACAAAGTTAAAAAGACATAAAACAACTTTTTAATAAATAATGCTTATGCGTTACAGTATTACATTTGATTGTGTTAAATGCTGATTTCAAATAATCCAGATTAAATATTTATAGTTCATATAACAATGGAAATAATAAATGTAAATATTTAAGTAGATAAGTCAGAATTCAACAGATTTCACATTATTTGACTATTTCAAGTAGTCAAATAATCCAGACTGATGACTTACAAAGTTGATACTCAAATGGCCTGCAACAGGACATCCCGTTCGGTTTCTATCTGAATTTCCACTTGGAAAACTGGCAGCTGTTGGTCCACCTGCGGACATTTGATTGCGTGAGTGGGTGTGTATGTTGACCTTCATATTTTTTTCAGAAAGGAAAATGATTGTTTTCAGGGCCAGAACCACCAATAGTAACTAGGAGGCTGCTGAGCAAACAGAACGAATGCGATGGCCCTTGTTCTCTTGAAAACCTGGAAAACTTCCGTTGAACACTAATGAGGAAAGAGAATCTGATGTGTTGAGATTTTCACGACACTCTATACGTGTCCAGGTAACACTAATGAAGAGAGAGAATCTGATGTATTGAGATTTTTACGACACTCTATACGTGTCCAGGTAACACGAATGAGGAGAGAGAATCTGATGTGTCTATACGTGTCCAGGTAACACGAATGAGGAGAGAGAATCTGATGTGTTGAGATTTTCACGACACTCTATACGTGTCCAGGTAACACTAATAAAGAGAGAGAATCTGATGTGTCTATACGTGTCCAGGTAACATGAATGAGGAGAGAGAATCTGATGTGTTGAGATTTTCACGACACTCTATACGTGTCCAGGTAACACTAATGAAGAGAATCTGATCGGCACTCTATACGTGTCCAGGTAACTAAATCTGTTGGAGGTTCTCTCCATCCTCTCTGCCAGGGCACACAGCAAACTTTCCCCAGAGCTCCTAGGGAGCTGGCAGAGGGAGACAGCTCTGCCAGGTGCAGTCATGTTCTCGTGGCAATCGTAGGAAGCACAGACAGCAACGGAGGCTTTGTTTCGAGAATGGGAGAAAGATTTTGCTCATAGAACACAACATGCATGCCTTTCCCATTAAGACACAAAATCCTTGGGGAACAGCCCAAATACAAAGGGGTTACATATTGGATAGCCAGAGTGGGCATTTGGCACAGCAGTTAAGACACTGCATGGGGCATCTACATCCCATAGTTGAGTATCTGAGTTCAAGCCCCACTCTGCTTCTTGTTGCAACTTCCTGCTAATGCATGCTTTGGGAGGCAGCAGATGATGGCTCAAGTACTTCAGTCTCATTCATTTGGGAGACCTGGTTTGAGTTCCAAGCTCTGGAACTTGTGATAACTTGGGGAGTGAACCAGCGGGTGGAATACTTGTATGTGTCATCTGTCTCTCTGCCACTCAAATAAATTTTAAAAAATAGTAACTATTGGATAGCCAAGACCATGACCAGTGTCCCAAGCACATATCAGATATCACCCAGCCCACCTTTCCGTGCATTTCTTCTCTCCATGCCAGTTACTGTATTTTCTACCTCATTCACTTTCTTGCCTGAAGCCTGTCTCTTGTCTGGAACTCCAGAGTTAGCCCCCAGTCCTGTATGAGAAGATACTCCCTTCTCTGAATTAGCCAACTCTATCACCATACAAGGTGCAAAGAATCAATTTATTTGTTCCCTTCTATGTTTTTAAGCAATTCCTGATAGACAATAAAAAATTCTTGATTTCTAATTCTTTGTAAAAAACATACACCCACAATCAGAAGTAGCATTATCTCATGTGAGGCAAGTGCCTTCGTATCAGTTTCATTTCAGCATCTCTCCCAGAGCTCCTGCACATGACTTGACCAAGAACACTTGCATCATATAGTAGGATAAATAACTATTTGCAATCTGCTCTTTAAGAGTGGTCATCTCTTGATGTGGTTATCGTCACCATGACATATAGCCTCTTGTCATTTCACTTTATTCCCTCCTTCCCTTCCTTCTTCCCTTTGAAAAGCTCTTTTGTGCAATGAGGTGGGTACAAGGGATGCTGGATGAATAAGGCCCACACCCAGGGCTGTGCCTGGTGATGCTCATAGAATCTTAGAGGTGGACAGAGTGTTGTCAATTGCTTACTGAAGCTCATTGTTTTACAGATGGCGGACTGGGTTTCTGTGTAATAATACTGATTGTATTCCTGGCCTCGATGTGGCATGCATTTTCTATCCCTATTCCAGGCAACCGTTCATTTCTTTTTACACTCATGTAAGCACCATGAAAGTGAGAGAATCCATGTGTTGTCTCATTCACGCTTGGCACTGAGTGGTCATTCAATGGCTCTACCCAATAAAGTGCACTTGAAGCTCCTGGATGGACAGGGGTCGTTTTTCTGCCGTTCACTGTTGTATTCATAGTGCTAGTTCTGTGTTAGATAAAACACAAAATCTCATTTTGAAATCAGACGCTTTTCTGGTGATCTTAGTCCCTGGTCTTACACCAGCTGGTTACTTACCTGGGTGCTCTGGGACCTGGGCTGAGTGCTGTGCCTCACTGGCCACCAGGAGGAGCTGTGACCCTACCAATCTCTGCGGCTGGGTGGGGAAGACAGGCTGATAGAGGAGCAGGACCCTTGGAGGGAGTGAGGGTGCTTTCTTTAATGGAAGATTTGGAAACATCTGAAGACATTTTGGTCACAACTGCGGTAGGGGGCTATAATAGGCATCGTGTAGGTAGAGGCTGGTGATGCGACTGAATGTCCTACGGTACCCAGGAAGGCCCCTGACAACAAAGCATTACTTGGTGCGGTCACTGTCGCTCATCCTGCTTGTTCCAGATCGGAGGGTGATCCAGAGACAACTCAAGGAAGCAAACCGTTGCATGTGATGTTCCCTGCTTTCCATGCTGCTCTGTGCTCTCACGGCCGGTGGGCTCCCAATACAAAGAAGAGTGACCTCTTCTCTAGCAGCCTCCTTGCAGCAGAGCCCACCTCACTCCGCCCCTCAGACAGTGCCACAGGGAGCAAGACTTCAGCACAGTCCCCTCCGCTCACGAGCAGTTTGCTCCTTACTGTCACCCAGGCATGCCTTCGACAGGGCTGCAGCTCAAGTCCATCTCCTGCCGGTAACTGCAATGGCCGGGGTCGTGAGCGTTAGTCAGACGCTAAGGGGTGGATGTTTGCGTGGGAATGCCCTGCACTGTTGTTGGGAAGCCTGACTCTGAGGGTGGAGTTCAAAAGGGAGAGGAAGGGAGGAGGTGGCAGGTACTGGTCTCTAGAAATTCCAAACACACTTTTGAAAGGAGCAAAGGCCAGACATGGAAAAGGAAGAGAGCCTGTTACAGGACACGGTAAGATGGGGGGACAGGCTGTGACATCACAGACAAAGCAAAGCACCCATTGGCAGTGGAGGCGTAGCTGAGCCTGCAGCCTGGTCTCCTCTCTTTGGCGGAGCAGAATCCTCAGCGCGGGTGTTCTGGTCTGCCCTGACCCTACCATGGGCCCCAGGCTGCTCTGCTGGGTGGCCCTCTGCCTCCTCGGAGCAGGTGAGTTCCTGGCCTGGGTGGCATGACTCTCCTTGAATCTCTGAGCCCTTTAACCGTGTCTACATCAATGGGCTACCTTCTAGGAGTTTTCTGAATTCTGGTCTCTTCTTCGCAGGCCCTTTGGACACAGCTGTTTTTCAGACTCCAAAATATCTCATCTCACAAGTCGGAAATAAAAAGACAATTAAATGTGAACAAAAGCTGGGCTACGATGCTATGTACTGGTATAAGCAGGACTCTAAGAAATCATTGAAGATTTTGTTTTGCTACAATAATAAGGAACTCATTTTAAACGAAACAGTCCCAAGTCGCTTCTCACCTGAATCTCCAGACAAAGCCCATTTAAATCTTCATGTCAGGTCCCTGGAGCGAGATGACTCTGCCGTGTATCTCTGTGCCAGCAGTCTAGACACAGCCTTGCAGAGTCACTGCCTCCCTGTGCACAAACCTCTTGTCCCAGCCAGGAAGCTGTGGGGACAACGTGCTCACCTGCTCCACAAGTCTGTGCTGTGTTCCCCCACTCCCTGTGTGGGCTGGGTAGAGTTCTATCCATCAGGATAGCCAAGAGGGAGTCCCACACTTTCTGCACACCCCACTTATCATCACAGTCACATACTTTAAATGATGGCATTGGTCCAGAAAGGGACTGTGGTCATCCTGTTGTCCTCCTTCCGCAAAACTGGGCCAGCAGGCTCGGGCACAGAAGGAAACAGGTTTTGAGTTGTGCTTTTCAGTGTGACTGAGCAGGGGAGGAAGATCCCATCATGGTGAAATGGTCTTTCTCTGATAGGGGGTCCTGGATGGGAGCGAGCCTGAAGGCGGATTTATAGAACGAGCAGGCAGCCAGGAGCAAAAGAGCAACCGTCAGAGGAGTAAAAATCTGGCTCTGCTTACTCTGCCTTTTCCGGGTCATCTCAGCCCAAGCAGCTCAAATCCAGCTTCTATCAGAATCTACAGAAGGTGTAGAGGAGGAAGAAAATCCCCTGGGGCTGGGGAAAGAGTTAGAAATGGTGACATCACCAGCACAACCACCAACTAGAGCCGAGGAGACAGAGCCCAGCCCCTTGTCCAGGGTGTCCCAGTTAGACGACGCGCAGCATAGACCTGAACCTGCCATGGGCTGCAGCCTGCTCTGCTATGTGGTCCTCGGGCTCCTGGGCACAGGTGAGTCCTGGGTCCACGTCGGCTGTCCATGCTTTTTCCTTTGGCTGCAGTAACTGATATTCCTTTTGAGCTCTGTTTTGTCTCTTTCCCCCATAGTCTCCATGGACACTAAGATTACACAGACACCAAGACATCTGGTCATGGGAACGGCAAACAAGAAGTCCTTAAAATGTGAACAGCATCTGGGACATAATGCTATGTATTGGTACAAACAGAACGCTCCGAAGCCCCCAGAGCTCATGTTTCTCTTCAACTACAAAGAGCTCGTAGAAAACAATTCTGTGCCGAGCCACTTCTCACCTGAGTGCCCTGAGAACTCTCGCTTACTTCTTCACCTGGCCAACCTGCAGCCAGGAGACTCAGCCGTGTATCTCTGTGCCAGCAGCCAAGACACAGCCCTGCAGAGTCACCGCCTGCCTGTGCACAAACCTCAAGAATCCAGGAAGCTTTGAGGGCAATGGAGGGCTCGGCTGAATAGTTCCTGTAGGACTCTAAGCAGAAGTTGCAAACCAATGTGGCAACTCTACAGTCTGCGCCCCTACTTGGACAGTCAGTTTTGCTTGACTGGAACGTAACTGCTCTGTCGACTGCTAAAAAGAAAAACACTTTGGTTTCAAGATACTGTAGATGCCTTTTCCTGGCATAAAAGAAAATGAGCTTACTGTGAATTGGTCTAAGAGTTCACAGGAATCCTCTAAACAGATGCCTGTGCCAGGGCATCACACTGTGCAATGTCACAGATGGCAGGGCACAGCCCAGGACACTTCAACTCCTGCTGTGTCTGAGTCTCTTCCCAGGAACCGAGGTGCTGTTGCCACCCAGGGTCAGGCAGCCCTGAGCTCTGGACCCCGGAACAGATTTCCAAGAAAGGGCCCCAGGAGGGCAGGAGCCAGCTGCCAAAGATAGCAGGAGACCCAGCCTTTGAGAAATGGGTTTGAAAATGTGTGTTGCTCCATCTTCGCCAGTTCCAATATTCTACATTCTGTTTTGCTCCTTCTCTACTTTCCCTTTTTCCCTCTCCAATCTAGACCCTGAGTCCTAGCCCTGATCACAGCTCCACATCTGCACAGACACAGACTTGCCTGTCTGCTCTCATCAGTCCAGGATGCGGAATGGAAGATTCCTCTCTCACTCCCGCTCCGTCCCTTATCCTGACTTGTCCTGGTGAGTCTTAGCGCTCAGCCCCTCCCAAGGTTGTCTCTCTACGCTGATATTTGCAGAGTTATTTCCCCCTTTTTGGTCTCTTTATCTCCAACAGTTTGAATCACTGGTTCAGAGACTGACAGCTCTGGAGTGTGGCTCTCTACTAGCTGTGGGTGCAGAGTGGATCCTGGCTAACCTCTTGTGGTCTTACCCTTGGCCTTGCTGTCTGGCAGTCCAGGCTTCCCAATGGCAACTCTTGGCCATGTTGTTGAATGCAGGGACTCCAAGGCCATGCTGGGGTCTTCGGTGTGTCTGTCCATGATGACACTCTAGCCGTCCATCCTGTGGGGGCGCTGCTGATTGTGTGGGTGCAGCCGAGACTGTGGTGTAACAGGGTTTCCTCCCTCACTGCTAAGCTCCAGAGTCCCAGCAGAGGAAGGGCTCAGCCCTGCCCCACTCTGCCATGGTCGGCCGCCTCTTCTGCTGGATGATCCTGGGTCTCCTGGGAGCAGGTGAATCCTGGGTGTGCTTGGGACGTTCCCATCTTGTGTTTATCTGAGGACAATTCTCAACTTTCTGCTCATTCCCCTCTGGCCTCTGCCTCCCCCACAGGACACTCGGAACCTGGAGTCAGCCAGACACCAAGCCACGATGTCACAGAGGTGGGACAGAGCACAGTTCTGAAATGTGACCCTATTTCTGGCCATCTTTCCCTCTATTGGTACCGACAGACCCCAGAAAAAGGAATGGAGTTTCTGATTTCTTTCTACAACAAGGCTCCTTCTGAGAAGGCAGACTTCTTCCAGGAACGGTTCTCAGCTGCCATACATGAGGACACACGTGCCACACTGACGATCCAGCCGTGCAGCTGGGGGACTCTGCCACGTATCTGTGTGCCAGCAGCTTGGCCACAGCACTACAGAGTCCCTTCCTGCCCGTGCACAAATTCCACAGCTCCTCCTGGGTCTGCAGGCTCTCAGAGCCCCTCCCACCCCTGGGGTGGGAGAGGATTGTGGTTGCGGCTGCAGATGCTTCCCCTGGAAGGCAACCATTAACTCCAACGGGCAAAATGGTCAATAGAAACAGAGACAGCTGGGGCCATGGTCTTCAGGAAGTGTCCACAGACACAGCTGAATGTGGCTGTTGACCCGAGGACGGGACAATTGTCGTCAAGAACCTCTGCCTCCTCTTTTGCTGTCTGGTTTTGTTTCTCTAGCAAAACATGCCTTCCATCTTTCAGTGGTGGGTGACAAGCCTCCTCCATAGGAAATGTGGGGTTTTCATAAGGTGCAGGATCTGAACACCAGAACCGAAACAGTGTTCCAGGGGACAGCAGGGCAGAAGCCCCTCAGGACCCTGCAGCCAGGACAGGGAGCTGTTTGGGGGACAATGGCTTCTCATGCAAATGAGCTCATTCATAGGTCAGCTGCGATCCAGGTCCGCAAGAGGACGTGAGCTGGGCAAGAGCAGACGCCACCCAGGTCCCAGGGCAGCCAGAGGCGCACAGGTGTGAATTCTCACTCTCAGCAGGACGTGCGGGAACAGAACTGACTTCTCAGAAACTGCCACCCAAGGGTTTGAGCAGTTGGCAGGGAGCACGCTACAGGAAGTGCTTCATGAAGGGATTTATTGATCGCCAATTAATAAAGCAGATAGGTCTTAATTAGTCAATTGGGGAAATAAGTGGAGCACAATGTTGTGGCCTAGTTGAGTATAGACTATGGATTATATTGGATTATATACCTATTTATCTATTCTCTAACTTATTCACTTGTTTGTTCTGTAGACTAAGAGTCCTCCATATCAGCATATGGAAAGTATGGGTTATTGCATTGAAGGAGCCCCCTGAGTCCCAGAAACAAAACTGGTCTTGACTACGCAGGGGATGGCCAGAGCCACCTGGGAAACTCACCTTCACACTGTCAAATCACTGATCCTCCAGAAGTGGCTGTGGGGGCCAGCACACAGAAACACCACACAGAATGTGCCAAAAAGGGAGATGTACATTGCCATACTTTGAGGGTGACCATACAACCTAACCATGCAAAGCAATGAGGAGGCTCAGAAGTGAAGGGGAGGCCTTGGACAACAGAAAAAATGGTGTCTGTTCACCCTCCCTGTGTCCCTTCCCCCACACTTCACCTTACAGCCCGCGGCAGGAGGAGGCTTCACCCCTGCCCTGAGCTTGCCTCTGACCCCAGGCGCCTGGCTCTCCATGCATGGGCCCTAGGCTCTTACTGCCTGGGGCTCTGGAGTGCAGATGGGATTCTCCTGTCTTGGACTTGGAGGCCTCAGCTCTAAGCCTCTCATCTGAGGCTGCAATGTTAAGCTGTACCTAGAGCTCTGGTTGCAGCTCCTGTCTGCTCTCCTAGGAGGGGTCTGTTGGCATCAACCCACCCTCCTTATACCCTTGTGTGTCAATTTAGCTGAGCAGCCACACGCAGCTCCTGGCTGCACAGAAACGGCAGCCACACAGGTGAGGTAGCTGTGCCTCAAGCAATACGAGGCTTCACCCCAGGTGTGCAAACACAGGCACGGTGACCCCACACTGACGGCTGGCTGAGGAGCCCCCGTCTCACGGGCATGGTGACCCCAGAACTGAGGGCTGGCCAAAGAGCCCCTGTCTCACGGGCACGGTGACCCAGGGCCGAGGGCCGGCCAAGGAGCCCTGTCTCACGGGCATGGTGACCCAGGACCAAGGGCTGGCTGAGGAGCCCCCGTCTCATGGGCACGGTGACCCCAGGGCCGAGGGCTGGCTGAAGAGCCCCCGTCTCATGGGCATGGTGACCCCAGGGCTGAGGGCTGGCTGAAGAGCTCCCGTCTCACGGGCACGGTGACCCCAGGGCCGAGGGCTGGCCAAGGAGCCCCGTCTCACAGGCATGGTGACCCCAGGGCCGAAGGCTGGCCGAGGATCCCCATCTCACGGGACGGTGACCCCAGGGCCGAGGGCTGACCGCGGAGCCCTGTCTCACAGGCACGGTGACCCCAGGGCCGAGGGCTGGCCAAGGAGCCCTGTCTCATGGGCACGGTGACCCAGGGCCGAGGGCTGGCTGAGGAGCCCTGTCTCACCAGACTGCCTTCATCAAGGCTCCCCCAGCTCAGCCTTTTTTTAAATTTTTTTTTTTATTTTTTATTTTTGACAGGCAGAGTGGACAGTGAGAGAGAGACAGAGAGAAAGGTCTTCCTTTGCTGTTGGTTCACCCTCCAATGGCCGCTGCGGCCGGCGCATTGCGCTGATCCGATGGCAGGAGCCAGGAGCCAGGTGCTTCTCCTGGTCTCCCATGGGGTGCAGGGCCCAAGCACTTGGGCCATCCTCCACTGCACTCCCGGGCCACAGCAGAGAGCTGGCCTGGAAGAGGGGCAACCGGGACAGAATCCGGCGCCCCGACCGGGACTAGAACCCGGTGTGCCGGCGCTGCTAGGCGGAGGATTAGCCTAGTGAGCCGCGGCGCCAGCCCCGGCTCAGGCTTTTGAAAAGAACAGTCCTCAATTTTCCTCCATGCGGGAAGAGAACTCTTTTTGTCTCAGGATCAGCTCGGTCTCCTCTCAGCTCCTCCTCGTACCCCAGGGTCTGATCTTTCTTTTGGGCTCTAAGAGCAGCCGCATCTCCCTAACTGAAGAACCCCATTCCCTCTCACCGCGGAGCCTTCGCCTCACTCCGGGCCTCGTGTTCTGGCTAAGTTGATTCCCAGTTACATCATCTGCGGCATAGAGATGACAGCGTTGCATAAGATGTCCAGGGCACGGCCAGTGTTCTACAGTTGGTAGGTATTCTGACTGTGGCTTTTCAGTGATGCAGCAGCACTTTGTGCAGAGGCTTCCTTGCTCCATGGACTCATACGTTCCACTGCAGGGGAGCTGGAAGCTAAGCAGGACACATGGATGGTACATGAGCCTCGTTCTAAGAGGTGTTCATGTGTTCTGGGATGGAAGGCCGTAAAAGGAGGGAGTCACAGAGCTTTATTTCTTTTCAACTCTTCATCTTCTCACCAATCTCCTCCAAACCCAGAAAACCTCCACGAAGTAGAGGGGAAAGAGAACAGTTTAATTACTGAATAATCATTGAACCAGATTGTGATGGGCATCGCAGGCAATCCACTAAGAGGTTACAAAGACAGAACAAAACCTCAGCCTTGGGGCCGGCCCTGTGGCTCAGTTGGTTAATCCTCCGCCTGCGGCACCCGCATCCCACAGGGGCGCTGGGTTCTAGTCCCGGTTGGTCCTCTTCCAGTCCAGCTCTCTGCTGTGGCCCGGGAAGGCAGTGAAGGATGGCCCAAGTGCTTGGGCCCTGCACCTGCATGGGAGACCGGGGGAAGCACCTAGCTCCTAGCTTCGGATCAGTGTAGCACACCGGCCGTAGTGGCCATTTGGGGGGTGAACCAACGGAGGGAGGACCTTTCTCTCTGTCTCTCTCTCACACACTAACTCTGCCTGTCAAATAATAATAATAAAAAACACCTCAGCCTTCCCCACAGACCAGCAGACACAGTGCTCTGTTCACAGGATGTGCAGGAACCAGATCTCAGCACAGGGTCCCCACAGCACCACTCTTCACATAGTCCATGCCTGATTTACTTGGTAAGTGTCAAGCTCATCTGTGTTAGCTAACCAGTGAAAGTAAACTTCTCACATCATTGTAAAAGAAGGTAGTTTTGCCATGTGGAGCCAAGAAACCCGTGCTCTAAGTTAAGTTCAAATCCTAAGACAGGCTCCTGCCTAAGTTAAATTAGGCTTCTAAGTTAGGGTCCCACCCACAGAAACTGGGAATAGAGGCACTATTTTCCTTGATGATATCTTTCCAAAGAAATAGCTCTGATAAAGACAGGCTTGGATCTTACAACTGACAAGTAGAGGATTATTTAGCTTTTAAAGGGATTTGCATACATTTCAAAGAGTGAAAGAAAATAAAGGTTGGAAGATAGAAGAGGAGGGAAGTGTCTTCCTTGCAACAGGGAGAATGGAGTTTTTATCTTGAATTTGTATTTGCCCTCACGCTAGTAGGAGGTATGTGGGTAGGAGGTACGAGGGTAGTTTAAGCCTGCAGCAGGTGGATCTGGGGACAAGGGCTGTGAAAGAAAAGGCTGTTGAGAGTTGCAGCAATGGTGGCCCAGGGGGTTTGCTGAGGAGCTGCCCCCACAGATCAGCCCTGATGCTGGAGCACAGTCCTTCTTCCTTGAGGAATCGTTAAGGCCTGAGCGAATGGCTGGGACCCTGCCCCCAAGGCCAGGGAAGTACAGCCCAGGCTCCGGGGACAGGATGGTGTGACAAACACCCCATCTCCCCCATCTCTGACCCTCACCACTGTAAGCAAAGCCTGTTTTCCAGGCAGCTGGGAAGAAGCCGAGTCCCTGGAGTGATCCCGGCCAGCAGAGGGTCAACCCTTGCTGAGTTAAGTCTAAAGGGATAGGGGATTTGGAAGCAACAAGCAGCTCTGTGTAATATCAGGAGATTGAACTCTGTAAGGCAGGTCTCCTAGGGATGCCGGTATGTGGAGGCCTGGTTTCAGCACTGTTTGGATTTCCATGAAGATGTGACCTTCTTTTGTAACTGAGCTCTGTGAATATCTGATAATAAGCATTATATTTTCATAAATCATTTCAGAAAGTGCCAATGGAAAGCATGAATACAAACACATTAATAGTTGCTAACTTTAGTTAGTGTGTGAATTTTTCTAATTAATACAGTGCGGTGTCATATTAATGATTCAATTATATGCATTTTGACAAATGAGAACACTCCAGCACCAACACCCCAGCCAAGATGTGAGCCATTTCACACTGCCTCCTTGTTCCATCTTCTTCCACTCAGCATCTACTTCCCCAGGTCGCCTCTGTATATATTTTGTCCAATTTATCCCTGAGTGGTGAACATATTATTTATGTTTTATTTATTTATCTATTTAAGAGACAGGAGGAAATAGAGGGACAGAGAGAGAGAGAGAGAGAGATTGATTGATTGATTGAGTGTATCTGTTAGAGCACTCCCCAGATGGTCACCACAGAGGCTCAGCCAGGTCAAAGCCAGGAGCAGGGAACCACATCTCTGTTTCTCATGTGTGTAGCAGGGACCCAAGTACTCGAGCCATCAGTGCCACCTCCCAGAGTGACCTTCAGCAGGAAGCTGAGATTGGGAACTGGAGCCAGGACTCAAACCCAGTCAGTCTAATATG